ATATTGAAAAATTACTACAATTTACAGTAAATATCTATTTAGAATAACTATGAAAGTGGTCACAGAGGTAAATGAAGCCATAAGCAAAACAAACAAACAAAAGAACAAAAAAAAAAAAAATCCCACTGAGAACTTCTATTCCAGACCATGTTGCTTAGCCTATTTGAAAACATTGTATGGGTATGTTCATGGCTCCAATTCAAAATTTTGTATCCATATTTTTTTTTTCAGAAAGTCAGGCAACATGTGAAGGCTAATTGTGCTCAAGGCGAATGCAATCAAGCCATGTCCTTCTCCTGTTTTCTTGCAGAGCTTTCTCTGATGAGCATGAAAGTCTTCAGTAATGTATTGAGCCAGAGTTTACCAACTGCTTCATGATTAGGAGCACATGTCCATGTACATTCTCCTTAGACATAAAGAAATGTTCAACCAAAGATTGCTTTCTTCAGACTTCATACAGTAGATAAATATCAACAGAGGTTCCAGTAAAAAAAAAGGGGGGGGAATAGATTTACATGCACACCATACCATCCAAAACACTTTTAACTCTAGTGAGTGCAGGTAATACCTGCAGAAGAAATCGGATCTACATATGAGATCTGTTGATAGCGCTTATGCTCTAAGCGTTTCACAAACGGGGCAAAAATTAATGCAGAACTTCTGTGACTGAAGTACAATTTTTAAAACATCTGGAAGTCCAATGAAAGATTTCCCTTGTTCCGTATGGACTGCAATTTTCTGCAGAATAAGCTTTAAACTTAATTGATTTCCATGTCAGTATTGGATCAGGCTCCCAGACATCTACAATGGATTAGATGTTTTGCTGCATATATTTGTGGGTTATCTACGTAGAACCTAGAGTACCTTACATTGAATTGTACTTGGAGATTGCAGGTATCTAGGAAAATATTCCTAAAACAAACTCATGCACAGTGTCATGGTGTCCTCTGACCTGCCACTGAAACTGAAGCATGACCTAGGAAATATGCATCCCTTATTGAGCAAAAGTATATGTTACACATATGCATATAGATTTGGTATGTGGAGAGAATAAATCACCCTTTATCATGAATGAATAATTAGCTTAGGAAAATGGAATATTCAAATTTCAACTACAGTCTGTAATCTATAATACAACACTCCATATACATATCTTGAGTGCCTCCAGTTATACTTAATGGGAGAATTAAAAGAAAACTTCTTTCCAGAATTTTAACAGACTAAATTTAAAAGAGGAAATGCTTTTTCTGTACCTGCCTTAAGCCTTGTAAAGAAATTTTCCATAGTTGAGGCACAGAAACATTACAAATATTAGTTTGCAGAAAAACAGATTGATTTTCTGAATCAGTAGTTTGAATTACAGCTTATGCCAAAGCCCAATTATTCAAAAACGTGTGTGTGTGTGTGTGTGTGTGTGTGTGTGTGTGTGTGTGTGTGTGATTTATTCATTTGGATTTTCTTCCTTAACAAAGGGAGAGGGAACCCACTATCTTACATAACCTGCTTTTTAGACAGAGTTGTATATATATATATTATCACCCAGGTTGGTTAGGACGTACAGGCATTTGAAAATATCTTTGTGATCGTTATATAACTGCTCATTTTACACAGCTGTCCCCACTAGGTAGAAGATATAATGCTGGTGATAAATTGCAAACTGAGTCACATGCAAAAAAAGTTTTCCTGAGGAAAAAAAAATGTGGCTAGTGAAATTAAGAGGCTGTTTATATAAGCAGTAATTAACCCAGGTTTCATAAGATACTTAGCTGTTCATAACACACAGGACCTGTCTATAGGAGGAAATAATTCAATGAGCTTTGAAATTTGGTATTAAAAGCTTAATCAAAATTTACATCTGAGTACTTATCTGTTCTCTAAATGTATGCCTAGTGCTCTCCATTGATTCACATCTCAGCAGCAAAGAAAGGGGAAGCACCTCATTTCAGCTACCATGAGCATTAGAATAGTTTTATATAAGATCTAGATCATGGACCTTCTGTTGTTAATAATATGTTCCAAAAAAATAATGCTGGACATCTTATTTGTGAAAAGTAACTCTTTGCCTTTGAATAGTTCTTGTTGCTGCCAAGAAAAAAATCCTTAAAGAAAATATTTAAAGGTGAATTGATATGTACGCATTGATTGTGAAGATTGCCACATAGTCCTTCTCAAACAGTTGCATATTTTTTGCAGAACAACGGTGTTTAATAAAAGTTATTTACACAGGATATTTTAAATTATTAACTCTAGAAGAAGGCTTCTCTCATGCCCTAAGGATGGACTATCAAGCCTCCACCCCACCAACACACACACACACACACACACACACACACACACACACACACACCTCTTTAATATTTTGTACTCCCAACCAGCCTTCTCTAAACATACTGGAGAATTTATGCTGGACAAACATTTAGACAAATTTACCCAACTGATACTTCCTGAACTATGGATTGAAACTACATACTTAAAATTGACACTTCTCCATAGATTTTGCATAGAAAACTAAACATAAAAGTAAGTAAATATTTTATAGATTTCTCCTTCCCTTCCAGAATTTACAAGGTGATTTTTTTAAAAAACAAGCTGTAGGTCAGGAACATCAGAAGTAAAGCAAAACAAAAGCAACAGGTTTGTTTGTTATGAAGTCTATCTTCATAACATGAACATCTGCGAGGATGGAGCCTTTGCAATGTTGCAGTGCAGTTTATGTACACAAATGACAAATATATGGAGTCAGATAGAGCAAGTTCTTAGAATGGGTGATGTCATGGCTGGGGCTCACCAAGGCCTCCTCACTCAAATATTGAGAGAAGTAGATTAGAATGTGAGCTGGCCGTGACTGAGCAGGAAAGAGAGAGCTACTTAGTGCTCAATGAAAATGTTGGCCCAGCATATTTAGATTAGATTAGATTAGATTAGATTAGATTAGATTAGATTAGATTAGATTAGATTAACAGAGTTGGAAGGGATCTTGTAGGTCATCTAGTCCAAACCCCAGCCCATGCAGGAGATGTACACTATTTCCGACAAATGGCAGTCCAATCTCCTCCTGAAAGCCTCCAATGATGTAGCTCCCACAACCTCTGAAGGTAAGCTGTTCCATTAGTTGATTGTCACTGTCAGAAAATTTCTCCTTATTTCTAGGTTGAATCTCTCTTTGGTCAATTTCCATTCATTATTCCTTGTCTGGCCTTCAGGTGCTTTGGAAAATAGGCTGACCACTCTGTGGCAGCCCCTCAAATATTGGAACACTGCTATCATGTCTCCCTTGCCCTGGTTCTTCTCTTCACTAGACTAGCCATGCCCAGATCCTGTAACCGTTCTTCATATGTTTTAGTCTCCAGTCCCCTAATCATCCTGGTTGCTCTTTTCTGCACTTTTTCTAGAGTCTCAACATCTTTTTTATAGTGTGGTGATCAAAACTGGATGCAGCATTCTAGTTGCGGTCTTACTAAGGCTTTATAGAGTGGTATTAGTACCTCACTTGATCTTGATTGTATCCCTCTGTTAATGCAGTTTAGGATTGCATTGGCTTTTTTTGGCTGCTGCTGCACACTGCTGGCTCATATTTAGCTGGTTGTCTGCTAAAACTCCAAGATCCCTCTCACAGTTACTGCTATTAAGCCTGGTTTCACCCAATCTATAGGTGTACTTTTGGTTTTTCTTGCCTAAATGTAAGACTTTACTTTTCTCTACACTGAATTTTATTTTGTTAGATTGGGCCCAGTGTTCAAGTCTGTCAAGATCCTTCTGGATCTTGAGCCTATCTTCTAGGGTGTTAGCTATTCCTGCCAGCTTAGTATCATCTGCAAATTTAGTAAGTTCCCCTTCTATTCCCTCATCTAAGACATTTATGAAGATATTGAAGAGTACTAGGCCTAAGACGGAACCTTGTGGTATCCCACTGCTTACTTCCCTTCATGTAGACATAGACCCATTAAGGACTACTTGTTGGGTATGGTTTGTCAGGCAGTTACGAATCCATTTGGTGGTGATGCTATCTATCCTGCTTACCAAGAAGTAGGTTATGGCAGGGGTGGGTTCTACTTACCTTTACTACCGGTTCGCAATGGGGCTGCGCGCACATGCGCAGAAGTGTTTTCATGATGTCAGGGTCAGTGGGCGGGGCCTCCTGTTGGTTTTACTACTGGTTCTATAGAACCAGTGCGAACTGGGGGCAACCCACCACTGGGTTGTGGTCTACTTTGTCAAATGCCTTGCTGAAGTCTTAGTATATTATGTCCACAGTATTTCGCTGATCTACTAATTTAGTCACTATGTTGAAGAATGAATTAAGATTGGTTTGGCATGATCTGTTTTTATCAAACCCATGCTGACTGCTAGTTATTACTTTACTCATTTCTAGTTGTTTCTAGATATAGTAAATTCCATACTTGGAATCCATAGGAACAGAGTTGCAAGTAGAAGAGCTGCAGTTTTTCCTCCCTTACTGTTTACTATAGTAATGCTCTGGTACATAACTACATATTGAAAAAATATGATAGATCTGGAAAGCAGGCAATAAAGGGTGGCAGTAAACTAATTAGGGACATGGAACATCTCCCTCTGAGGAAAAACCTGCAGCTGTAGTATTCAACTTAGACTAAAAGTGAGTAAAAGTAATACAATAAAGATATAGAGGTAGTTCTCAACTTACAACCACAATTGAAACTGGAACTTCTATTGCAAGTAATGGAGTCATTAAGTGAGTCATGCTTGATTTTATGACCTTTTGCCACAGTCATTAAAGGAATCACATGTTAAGCAAATCCATGTATCCCATTGACTTTCCTCCTGAGAAACCCTCTGAGAAGGTTGCAAATACTGATCACATGGACTCTGGAATGCTGCAACCATCATAAATACTTACCAGTTGCCAAGCACCCAAATTTTGATCACATGACCAGCAGCAGCCATAAGTGCAAGGACTGATGGTAAGTCATTTTTTCAGCATTGTCACAACTTTGAACTCATGAAACAAATGATCGTAAGTCAAGGACTACCTGTATTTTTAAAAATAGAGAAGAAAAAGTAAACAGAAATTCACAATGTTGAAATGCTGAATCATTGATTTAAATTAAATGAAAGAAAATGCATAACTGATAGAAGTATTTTAGAAGGATAAAAATTCAAGACACCTTGTTACTGTATGCTAGGTAGAAGAACAAACAAATAAATAAAAAGTGTGGAACACTACTATTAAAATGGCGATAGAAATAACAACCAAATAGTTTTATTTTTCACTGAGGCAGAAAGAATGGACTTGAATGGTGAGTTTCTTTTTCTCTGGATTTTTATTTGTTTGTTTCCAATATTTGTAGACCCTCCATCACAAGATAGTATTTAATAAAACCTCAGAAAAACAGCAAATAAGAAAAATAAAAATGTAACAAACATATAAAGATGAGACACACCCAATTAACTGATTAGGACCAAAGCCCAGTGGATTAAGAATGTTTTTGCTGGTTTGCAGAATGCAAGGACAGAAAGTGCAATGCCCAGGGAGGGACATATTCTACCACTACAGAGAAGACCTGCTATCTGACCCGAGTCCGATGTACCTCCCTCAGGGTAGGGAGCATTCTAAGAATGCACTCTTGAAATATTTGAACTATGGAGGCAGACACAGCTTTGGAAAGGCAATGATGAATCCGGATGAGAGGACTTACCAAGATGGATTTGCCTCTTCAAAAAAGGAGGGAAACAAAGAGGGAGAAAGATGCAGTTGAGAAGTTCTGTTCTGTTCAATGTCCTCCATCATTGCTTAGATAAATATTACTGGAATTGCAAAAAGGAGAACAAAAGCATGATCTGGCAAAAAAAGCCAGCAACACTATAGCCTTCCAGCGCTTTGTGATCATGTTTTCATTGTTATTCTGTTTCTGGCAATAATCAAGATCATTCCTAAGAAATACAGGACTGCTTTTCTTGTCTAGAGGTTTCAAGATGAAATAGAATATTTGGAAACTGCCAGGTCAAATATTGCAGATATTGAGTTGCATGATCCTTTCAGCCAGGGTGAATTGAGCTTCACCTCAATCCTCTTTCGCCACAACTCTTGGAATCCAGAACTAATTGACTTCAAGAGAACAGTCTTCCAGAATGAACATGGGTAGTTCACATGCATCAAATAACAATTGCTATTAGCCATAGCATAACTATTGCAGATTCTGAAAGCAGAATAAATACTGCCCAATAATAATTTGGCTGATGCTTTCATGAGCAAGTTGAACCATTTAGCATGGTGAGTGCTGGACTGGAGCAAGTCCTAAACGTTATCTGGAAAGCAAGATTTTCCAAACCAGCTAAGTAAAGGAGCAATTATTGGTATTATTAAGGGTTGAGTAGCAGTGTAAAAGGTTGCAGCATTATGAGATTGAGGTTGGAAAATTGTCTAGTTTAAATTGCTGTGTGTCACTCCACAAAATAGTATTAACTATGTGCATTTGAATGTGAGGAGATCCTATTTGCTGTTCTACCTCAGACAGCGCTGTGTCTTGGGCTATTCCTGCATGTCTCTTTCACACTACCAAGGAAAGTTAATCACAGTCTGACATAACCATTATGTCAGCTATTTCTTCTCCCACTATGGGTACACTCAAAAATGGTCCAAAAGTTATAATTTATGCACACAGAGACTGCAAGAGGTGTACCAGTTTAAAGCACACAACAAGGTTTAGTCTGTATTTAAAGATCTACAGTTGGTACTAGTAAAGAGAATGTTTGTAGCTCAGTGCTGAACTATTGAGTCAACTATTGAGTGAACTATTCATTCACTCAGGGTTTTGATCATGTTTCATTACCAAACAATGTACTGATGATGTTACCTAGTTTGGTAATGAAATGTCTGCAAGAAAACCACCAAGCTCAGAAAGCTCAAAGACCTCACAGGTCTACAATTGATCCAGTTGAGCACAATTTAAGGTGTTCTTATTAGTCTTGAAGCACTAAATGACTCCAAATCTGACTATCCAAGCATACAGTAGTTCCAGAGGCTTTCCCTTCTGGCGCACCAAGATACAATCTTCACCTGGATTGCTGCTAGACTAGGGAACATACTCCCTTTGGAATTGCATTGGGCCCCACTTCCTTAGTATTTTAGAAATGTGTAAGGATGGATATCTTTCAGTGAGCTTTTAATAGTTGACTGACTTTAGCATTGGTTTCATTTTATTTGTATCATGTTTGTATAATTTGAACAAAAAAGGAGGACTCAAACCAAATGAATGAGTGAATGAATGAATGAATGAATGAAGTCTCTTTGATAATGGTATAGGTCTACCAATAATCTTAAACAGATTTTGGATGGTTATATCTTCATGTCAAAAATGCTTGAAGTTACTGCCACCATAGCTTAAACTCATTTAAAAAGAGCAGCTGGCAGAAGGCAGTGATGCAAAAGAGCACCAGCATTCCATCTGTTTTTTTTTTTTTTTTGAAAACTTGGCTGACCATCAAGATTCTACTGTTGCTTTAATAATGACCCTGACTTAAGTAAAATATGTTTTTTCCGGTTTCTCCTCCCTATCCCCTTCAACAGTTGATGCCTTAATCACAAATTTCACAAACTTTTGCTTAGATGTTAGAATTACAAAATGGACAAAACAAGTTGTAAATTATTCCCTATTGCTACTATAAGTACACCAGTAAGCATAGTGCATACTGCTAAATTGTATGAGCTGGGACAAACATTGGATTTAGCTAGACTCAGGGGTGTCACGCGCAGGCCACAGTCACTCAAGCTCCATGAACAGGGAAAACGTTGTGAAATGTCACATGATGGCAACGTGATGGGGTGAGTTTGACACCTGTGAGCTAGGTGATCAATGAGGAGAGGGGATGCACTTACAGATGTTTCTCATTTACTGGATGGCAATCCAGATATATTTCTTCCAGGCATTTCTTGTCTTGTAAAATTATTGGATTTTCCACTCATATAAAATCTTTTTCTTTTAAAAAATATTTCATTTGATTTTGGGAAATCATGATTTTCTTGCTCCTCAATTAGCGCATCATTGAAATTTTGAGTTCTACAATTAGGGTCAATTTAATTGTGGTACCTACTCTCCTATGCTAATGCCCTTTAGTGAACGGTGCAAGTTTGCCTTTATAAAAAGTGTTTATTAAAAAGCATTATAGATAAGGATAGTTCCACTCACACATCACATGAAAAAGATGGTGGCATTATAATTCCTAGGTTAGTGCTAGATATTCCATTAATTTATTTTCACCACATTTTTCCTCATCTCAACTGTAAATTAGTTTGGCCCCACTACTTATGAATTGACACATCAAGCTGATGCAAATGTTCATGTACCCCTTTTTCCTGTCTAGTGCATGTTTATGTACTTGTCTCCCTACATGCGCTATTTATAAGCATACAACAATGATTTTCTTTCCTCAAATATTTATCCATTTGCCCACACTGAGCCCATTTTTGCACATTTTTTTGGTCATGAAGCATGCTGCACCATTCTGAGAAGGGGAAATTTCAGAGCATAGGCATTTCACTATAGCCTGTATATTTGAAGTTCAATGGATTTCAAGCTTCATTTCTGTGACGAAATGGGGTTGAGGGGTACCCCGGACCGTGAACCAGCTCATGAGTAAACACACTGAGACTGAAATGATTCTGACAGAGGCGTCTTGTGTAAAAATATAATTTACTTTAAAACATTTAAAAAGCACTATGTCTTTAAGAAAACACATTAAAAACAAAGTCTTATCTGGGTATGTGAAACAAGGCTATCTCCCTAGATCCCTCTCCACAATACCAAAACAGTTCACAAAAGAATAAAGCTAGCATGAAGGTAAGCAGCTTCGGCGTCGATACATCATCAAGGCAATCGTAATGGGAGCAGCACGAGCTTCACAGCTGAAAGTCACCTGAAGTAAAAACAGTTCAAACAGCAAACATTGCTTGAAGCTTGTGGGAGGAAGAAGGTCCAGCAACAGCAGTCCCGATGATAGCTTGCGTGCTACAAAACAGCAAAAGGCAAGCATCCGTGGGAGTCTCTCTGTAGCGGCGTCTGGAGTCCTTATCTGCATTCTTCTCCCATCTGCGGCGTTGCAACAAGCTTCCTGCAGGAGCTGTGCATTTAGGCCTAGATTAGACTAGGCCCAGGTAGCAAGCAAAAGGTCCTTGCTTATATAGGGAGTCAACCTGCAATTAACTAGGGCGGGGAAGGCTTGCAGGTAATTGCCAACAGCAGATGGCTTGATTAAAACCATACTGTTTGTGAGTAGGCAGATAGCCACAGCAATCCTGGAAACACTCGTGACAATTTCCTATCCATCTCTCATCAGTGCATAAAAACATCATTAAGGAGAAACTGTTGTACTCCTAAATATCTGAAAAAGCTGGAAATGTAATACCTTCCCAATCGTAATTGTGCTTTTGGGTAACATTGCAAGGTAATTAGAATACAAACAGCACATGAAAATATAGCTTGTTTGGATTTGTAGTAAATAATGGGTTGTATCCAAATTGACTTTGTGCAAGACAGGGCATCTTCTTGCCACTGAGCCAGCTGTGTGGGAAGCTACACTAGGTAAAGGAAAAAACAGGAGAATGTGCTTCTCTTGTTCAAGAGGAAGTGCTTGCCACCAGCCAAATGTCTTTCACTGGACATTTTGCAACAGCATTCAAATGACACACTACATGCAAATAAGTAGAACATGCAGTTGTTTGGAGGACTTATGTTATTGGGTGATTCGTTGCCAGCTTTGCATTATAAAAAACAGAATTGATGCAGTGATCAAATTAGTAAGATTTCATACAGTTGTTGCCCCTTATTGACAAGATTTGACCTTTTTATTTCAACAGGCTGGCCTGGCCTAACCTCCTTTTTAATTGTTAATTGTTAATTTGTTTTAAAACAATAGGGGTGTTTTAAATTGTTTGGACCAAATTATTTAATGTGCTTTTAGATTGTTTTTTAAATTTTGTATTATGTGTATTTTATCTTTTGGCTGTTCACCGCCCTGAGTCCTTCGGGAGTAGGGCGGTATATAAATTCAAAATAAAGTAAAATAAAAAGTAAAAGAGATCCCTCACAGCCTTTGGAGACAACCTAGATTGAAGGAAGACAGAAGGTAGAGAAGGAGTAAAGGGTCAAAGAATAAAATGATGGGAAATGAGTGGAAAATTTCAATGTGTAAGGATAGTTGGTTTCCTGGTGGGAGGCAGCTACTATTTGGAAAGCATCTCTAGGTGGTAAACATTGCATATGCTTGTTTGTTTGTTTGCTTTATAATTATTATTAACTTGATTGTTGTTATAAACTTCCTTGGAAATTATTACAGATGGGTGGGAGAATGTTTGTGTGGGTGTCTTAAGGCTGGGCAAGATTTAAAGGTAGAAAAATGCCTCAGAGTTTGCAGGGGGTATAAAAAGTATTGGTTTAACTCCTGGAACCATATCCATTTTTTAGGGGGGGGGGGATTGTAGGGCCACTGTTTGTTTTCTTCCTTGGGTTAGGTTTAGGGTTAGGAGATGGATGTATTTGGCAAGAAGTCTTATAGAAGATGTTATTTTTTTTATAATGAAAACTAATGAAACAGAAGCCAATAATGACCAATTCAGAGTATTCTATAGTATGTTCTGATTCAATTACATTCATCCACCAGAGGTCATTAGATGATCAAATGACACTTTTCTGATCTATTTTTTTTTAAAAAAACAAATATGTTAGGTGGCTTGATGAACAGCTAAAATCAGAGTATAGACATGCTGTCCCCCACATTTCAGAGTTAGGGCTCTGGTAACGTTATTTGTCCTATGAATTAAAATGTTCCATGTTGATTAATTATGATTAAAGACAGTTATTGACTTGTTAGTTCCACAAATATATGGAATTAGATGATCTAAAATGGGATATCTTTTTCCACTAATGTATCCATAAAATTTTGAATCACACCAAAATTGCACCAGACTTCCCCCCCCCCTATATTTCAATTAGTTGCTTATACTAAAACTAGTTTTGTTTTATGTTTGAAATCTGAAAAATCAATACAGGATTCATCTAGGAAAATCAAAACAAACAAAACATAACCCGAGCTATCTAATAACTAGGGATGGAAAATAATCCAGCCATGAATTCTGTCTTGAATAGATTTGGTATTTCTGCTCCTAGGGTATCCATGACATGATAAATGCTAGCAGAAATTAAATCCAGGTAACAGTCATTGTATTCGTAATAA